CACATGTGCTCACCAGAGAGAGATGGAGACAGAGCAGGGAGGTGGCCAGGACAGGGAGCGAGAAAGCAAGGCAGCAGGTCCAGACTCGAACCGCGGTGGGCCATGTGGGAGTCCAGCACCTTAACCACCATGCCATCTGCTGGCCCTCATCCTTTTTCCATCTCGTCTCCTCTCCCGGATTTTGGGCATGCACGCATACCTGCTCAGTGTGTTTCTCAAGGCCTTGTGTCTGGGACTCAGGCCTCACCATTGGCCGCGTGGGGTCCAGCCGCCTTAACCACTAGCCAAGAGACCGTTTTTAACTTTGGGCCAACGGCATGGTCGGTGTTTTGTTTCTTTTTTTTCCAGTTTTCACTATGTGGTGCATGTGCTCACCAGAGAAAGAATCAGATCACCCAAGGGGGATGGCCATGCCACAGTCCCTTCCTCCAGCCTCCTCTGGGGGTTTGGGGCGCGCACACACATGCTCCAGGCGTGATTTTCAGGCCACCAGGCCCAGGAGTTGAACCTAGCAGCCGGCCATGTGGGATCCGGTCACTGTAACCCCCAGCCGCCGGCTGGCCCATGTGTTTTCGTGGTGGCTGCTCACCTCATATTGTGCGGCACCAATTTACACTGCGACCAGGACACGTTCTTCCTGCTTGCACGAACCCTGACTGAGCGTGCAAATGCCGAGGAAGGCGCTCCAGCCAGAGGATCGCACAAATGTTGGAGGGACATGCAGATGCTAGAGGGGACGCCAAGAGCCCCGATGGCTGGGTCGTCCACACTCACGCCCCGCGAGCCTCGTCTTGAGCACGGAACGTGACAGTGCCACCCTGCTCCGTAGCGGGTCCCTGTCCCACTGTCCCATCCTGAGAAGTTAGCTTTTCCCCTGCCTCAGCATTTCCTGGCCACAGTTCTGGCATGAGACAGAAGTGGGGTGGGGGTGGTGAAGCTGTGGGTGCAGGGAGGGCAGGGGCGTGGCCAGTGGGTACCCGCAGACTCCCACCTGAGCCGTAGGGGCTGCCAGTGGGATCCCGATTGCTCAGTAGAAGCTCAGAAAGTGCCTGCCTTCTGCTAGCCCTGGGGTCCGGGCCAACTGCACATGTGGCCTGATGGGACATTTTATCACAAACACCCCACCTGTCAGGTAGGCCCGGAGCTCTGAGCAGTGCCTCGTCTCCCCGGAACAGGCCGAGGGGAGTGTGCACTCACTCACTGATGACAGGAGCTGGGCTCGCAGAGGGGAGCAGGTTCCTGGGGTGGCCCTGCGAAGGAGAGGGCCTGCGACCCACGCCAAGACCCGAGCCAGGCTATGCAGCCCATCTGCCGAGTCGGGCCCAGGGCCTCCCAGGCCTGCTGTAGTGGCGCTGGGGTGAGGTTCCAGATGGAGTGGCCTGAGCACCCAGCTCCTATGGCAGCTGGGCCAGGAGGGCTCTGTAGTCCCCAGAGCGGATGCCTGAGAGCCGAGCAGGTGCGAGTTACTGCCCTCACTGCCCTGCCCTGGTGCCCCTGTGGGCCCACGGAGCCTGCGTACTAACAGCGCTGAGACTCCCAGGAGGAGGTGCTTGGAACGTCCTTAAGGAAGAGTAGGGAAGTGGGCCCGCACAGTCCCAGCCTCCCCTGACCCCCCTGGGCTCTGCCTCCTGCTTCAGGGTGGCCGAGGTGGTGAGAGGGGCAGGGCACCTCCGTCCTGTGAGCACACCTCGAGCTCGTGCCGGCTGAGGCCACGTCGTGTGGGTGCTCCTTGTGATTCTTTTAAGTTTACGTGTTTCTCCCACGGGGGTCCCCCTAGGAGGTCCCCATGCCGTGGTCCTCCCATGGGCCCGTGTCACGGGCACACCCAAGCGCAAACCCAGGACCCTCCCTGCGGGCCCAGCCAGGCCACCTGGCACCACCTCCAGCAGCAGGGAGGGCACTCGGGAGCCCCTGGCATCTCCTGTCGTGGGCTCTGGTCCAAGGCTGTGAGCAGCCGAGAGCAGCAAAGTCCCCAGCTTTGGGGAGCCTGGAGTGTAGCAGGAGAGCCAGATCTAGGCACGGGCAGGAGGACAGGGTGCCACAGGGACGTGCAAGGGCAGAAGGCCACCAGGCCGGGCGGAACAGTGGGGCATTAGAGCCCCAACTGGGAGTGGAGGCCAGAGTCCCGCCCCTGGTGCCCGCAGACTTCAGCATCCCCATTCACACCCTGCCCTGCCCACCAAAGGGATACCTAGGTATGTTAAGGGCCCAGGAAGCCAGGGGACATGAAGCTGGGAGATAAGGTACCCCCACCCGGCCTCCCATGAGGAGCAGAGGGCAGCTCTGGGACTCTCCCTGATCCTGAAGCCAGCAAAGCTGGCTCTGCCCTCCAGGCTCGGGCCTCTGCAGCCAGAGAGCTACCAGCGCCGGAGCAGCAAGGGACACAGGCTGGACCGGAAGGGTCGTGCGCTCACGGGAGGACAGGGTGCTGGCCCAGGGCCACTGTCCGCACACCTCTGCTTTCTCCTCGGCCCATTGGGCTTCAGATTGACTTGGCTCAGGTGAGGGGTTCTGCTACTTCACCCCAGCATCCCCTCTAGGCAGACCTTACTGGCCCAGGCAGGCTGGGGCTGCGTGAGACACACAGTCAGGGCCCAGATGGCAGGGCACCTGCTCTGGGCACTGGGCCGGTGTCTCTTTGGTCGGCTCGCAGCCCTGAGAGCCGCGGTGGAGGTGTAGACATCTCTGCAGGTGTGCCTTCATGGTGGTGGGGGCTGGCCCCAGACTGGGCTGACTGTGAGCCATCGAGAGGGCTCCAGACCTCCCGTTCCTCTCTTGCGAGCCGGTGGGGGCAACGGGAGGGGTACCTGGACACCTGGGGCTGGTACAGTGATGGACCCTGGCTGGTGCCCGCGCGGTGCTCCTGAGCCAGGGCGGGCTCGCGCTGTCACTGGACCTCCGTTACCTGGACTTCCGTGTGCAGGTCGGGGCCTTGGCCCCAGGACAGTGAGCAAGGGATGGTCATGTGAGGCGGGGGCAAGCCGCGTGGGCCGGGCCTGGCCTGGTGCAAAGCGGCCCGGCGCAAGGCAGGCTGGAGGAGGGCCCGGG